GGAGGAGAGGAGGAGAGGAGGGAGGAGGGGAGGAGAGGAGGAGAGGAGGAGAGGAGGAGAGGTGAAGAAGAGGACGAGGAGGAATGAAGGAGGAGGAGGAGTAAAGAGGAGGAGTAGCGGAGGACAAAAAGGAGGAGGGGGAGAAGGAGCAGAGCAGGAGGATGAGAAGGAGCAGAGGAGGAGGAGGAGGAGGAGGAAGAGGAGAGGAGACGATCAAACGGACCGAGGGGAGAAAGAGAGAAGAAGATGATGTTGAGAACAGATAAGACTCTGAATCAAAGACTGTGTGTGACGAGAGATAGAAACAGGAGTCAAAAGAGGAAGGTCACAAAGAGGCGAAAGTGGCGTAGCTTACACACTCACCGGATTGCTGGCCGCTTGTAGAGGAAGAGTACGGGTCGACTGAGGAACACTAAACGGGCCACTACTGTTGCTTGATGCTGCTTGCTGTTCGTCGGTCAGTGGGGAGGAAATTCTAGAACGGAGAGTGAGCAGAAACACGCACCGTCGTTGCCATCGCATCGCCCAGCCGAACCAAAAAGGACCGATCGCTGGTCTTCAACACGAGCGAGCGTGTGGCGTCTTTTTTTTTTCTTTTCTTTTCTTCGCCAACGGATTTCCATTGCTATGTGATCATGTAGCTTCTAATGGAGTGGAACACCGCTATTCGAAGAAAAGGAAAATTTTGCGATTGCCCTTATAAATCATGTCCCGAGAATTTGTGCGCTGCTCTGTAATTCAAGATATTTCCTGCAGTACACCAGGGAGGGGGGGGGTTGGGGGCGGGGAGGTCCCAAAATTCACCTTTGTTACATTCCGACCACTACTGCTAAAGCCTATCTAGGGGACAGGGGCAAACATAGCTACCTCTCAGAATAAAGGGGAGGCATGTTTTTTTTTTTTTTTTTTTTTCACAAAACAAGGGGCCCTGAGGGCTTCATCATTATGCATACTTCAGGAACAAAAGGAGGTCGGGAATCCCTCTCAAATGAACCCGGAGAAAGGGAAAAAATATTGGGGGCACAGCGCAGCTCAGAATGGGAGCAGTATGACTAGGAACAGAAGTGGCCAACACACAGACCGCTGTCCTATCTTGTCCACTACCCTAAAGTAAATTTGCCTACAAGGCCAGGAAAAGCTAAACAATTCAACATTACCATCCCTATAAAAAAATTACACCTTCACGGTCGAAAAAACCCCATAACCCGGCAAAAGAAAAGAAGATTTCACCTGTCCTACCACACTTCGTCTACAGAGCAAAGGATACCCAACCACTATAAAAAAGAAAAAATTGGCTTTTTTTTTTTTTTTTTTTTTTTTTTTTTTTGAAGTCAAGGGTGTTGTAGAGGCCAGTCAGTGTGTGCGCAGTGATCACTTGGAACTGTGAGCCACGGACCGGTCGGCCTCAAAACACGCATTGGGTAACTCTCTTTTTGTTTTTGTTGTTGCACAGTAATTCAAGGAAACAACGATGCTTGGGCTTCCTCATGCATGCATATCTTCTTCTTATATTTTTTAATCTATGCATCTTTGCATCAGAGACGTGGTCGAAACATAAGACATTAGTGCCAAACCTGAGATTTTTAGGTTTTTTTGTTTTGGAGGGGGCCCGGCGGGGGGGCGGGTAGGAAGGGGAGGGAAGGGGAAGAATTTCAAAGAACAAAGATGTCTTTTTTTTATCCTTCAAACATACAGCTTTCGCTTTCCTGATGCACAGGGGGAAAAAAAAAAGGGGCGCTTTCTTGTCAATCAATCAATCTCTTACGTGCGATTTCCATTGGCCTTCGCCATGCTGAGTGCCGAGTGCTGAGAGCGGTTCACGCAGTTATCAAATAGTGGCTTGCCTGCGCACAGACAAGATGATTCACACACAAGCAACCATTAAATAACAAAAACAATAATAATAATAATAATAATAATAATAATAATAATAATAATAGCAAATAAAGCCAGTGCGCACAGACAAGATGATTCGCGCTTGTTTTTTTCGGCGCGCAGCACGTTGTTGATCGGGCAAAACAGCCTCAAACGTAGTAGTAGACGTCATTCTTTTTTTTTTCTGTTTGTTTCTTTATTTCCCTCTTCTCCCCTCTTTCCTCTTTCTTCTTTTTTTAAGGGCGACGGCTGAGATATCATCATTGAAATGAGCGGGCCCCAGGTAATCTAGAAAATGATGTTTTACTCTGCTCATCTGAATGGCAGATGGATTAGAACTTGGGGGGTCTGTATTTCAACAGTTCATAGGTGTACCAAATGAGTTGGGTCCGAGGTCATTTATACTCGGGGATGGGGGTGAGCCGTTGGAGTACAGGGGAAGGATAGAAACCGCGGGGTTATATAAAAGTCCACGTTCCTTTCGCCACATCACAACTAGTGGTCGATGTAGCTTATTTTCCTTTACATTTTCATTTTCATTTCCTCTTCCCTATGCTTATGAGAGGGTCCTCCTACCAGATCATTTTTGACTGAATTCGACCGTAGTTACAGTCAGATTCACCCAGGAGAGTGTCTACCGCGCAGCGTGTCCTGCGAGCACTCCCTCTCCGTCTATCACAACGTGGAGACAAGGCAACAATCCCATCGCCTAGCTGTAAACGACCTCCCAAAGGAAGGTGGCAAATTCCTTCTTTTTGTGTGTGAAAAAAAAATAAAAATTAAAAAAAAAACTTTTTTTTGTCTTTTTTTAAGTTTCTTGCATATCGACCAGTCGTGAGTTATTACAGTAATATCCATCTATACAAGAGCCAGCCTCGGCTCTCTGCCTTGAGCGCATTCATGGCCCACCAGCATCAACAAGAGGGAGGGAGAGAGAGGGGGGGGAGGAGGGGGAGGAGATGAGAAACCGAGAAGAAACAAAAGGGGGGAGAGGGAGAAAGGGAAGGGGAGGGACGCTGGTCCCAAAATTCAGTAACGGGATTACGGGAAGGAGAGGAGGGGCAGGGAGGGGGGGAGAGGGAGGGGGGGGAGGCGGGCAGAAAGAGCAAACTTTTCCAAGATAAGATGGGAAAACAGATGGCAAGAAAAAAGAAGAAGACGAAAGACAGAGCAGGAGGAGGAGGAGGAGGAGAAAAAGGAGGTGCAGAGAGGAGGGTGAGGAGGACCACGACGGGGAGGAAGGTGATCCAGAGAAGGAACGTAGACTTTTTTCTTCTGGAAATAGGAAACGAGTTTTGACACCCTAATTTTCACAAGATCGAGTACCCCGAGCGATGTCCTCCTCTCGCAACCTCCCCTCTTTCTCTCTCTCTGTGTGTGTGTGTGTGTGTGTGTGTGTGTGTGTGTGTGTGTGTGTGTGTGTGTGTGTGTGTGTACGCGCGTATGTGTGTGTATGGTCACCCCCTCCTTCTCTCTATTACAACAAGCATCAGGAGAAGTGGAAGACGAGAGAGACGAGGAATGAGATCATCGAAGAGAATTAAGAAAAGAAAACTGGAGGAAAGTGACGAAAGGGGAGGGTGGAGGAAGAGAAGGTCAAAAATACGAAACAAGTACAGAAAGTGTACGAGCTTGTCCGCGCCATCAGCGTTACCACCATACCCTGATACCATCATCATCATCATCATCATCATCATCATCATCATCATCATCATCCTCTGTCGTCATGATCATCATCATCATAATCGTCTTCATCTGTCTTCATCTGACTTCATCATCATTACCACTATCATCATCACCATCACCATTATCCTCATCGTCTTCAATTCTTTTTTATCTGTATCCATCGTCAACGTTGTCGTCGACATCATCATCATCATCATCATCATCATCATCATCATGGCATTCATCATTATTCGCCCTTCACGTGATAGTATATAGGCGAGGACGGAGAAATCCTCATCCCCTTTCGTTTCTCTGTACTATTGCAAAAGGAGAAGGAGAGAGAGAGTGAGACAGATGAGACACAGAGAGAGACAGCCCGGAGTATGCCAAGAAGACAAGTTAGTCGAGCGGCGGCATGAAGGTTGCTTACTTCCCTTCGTCCATGTTCTCCGTAGTTTTGCCGCTTCATAATCATAGAGATCACCACTATCATCCCGACCCGTCTTTTCACACTTCATAATCATAGAAATCACTATTACGCAGAGAAAAGATCACCTAGTACGCAAAGGAGAAGAGGAGGAGGAGGAGGAAAAGTAGAGGAGGAGAGGAGGAGAGGAGGAGAGGAGGAGAGGAGGAGAGGAGGAGGAGAAGTAGAGGAGGAAGAGGAGAGGAGGAGAGGAGGAGAGGAGGGAGAAGGGGAGGAGAGGAGGAGAGGTGAAGAAGAGGACAAGGAGGAATGAAGGAGGAGGACGAGTAGAGAGGAGGAGTAGAGGAGGACAAAAAGGAGGAGGAGGAGAAAGAGCAGAGGAGGAGAAGGAGGAGGAGAAGGAGCAGAGGAGGAGGAGGAGGAATAGGAGAGGGGACGGTCAAACGGACCGAGCGGAGAAAGAGAGAAAAGGATGATGTTGAGAACAGATAAGACTCTGAATCGAGGATTGTGAGTGACGAGAGATAAAAACAGGAGTCAAAAGAGGAAGGTCACAAAGAGGCGAAAGTGGAGTAGCTTACGCACTTACCGGATTGCTGGCCGCTTATAGAGGAAGAGTGCGGGACGATTGAGGAACACTAAACGGGCCACTGCTGCTGTATGCTGTTCGTCGGCCGGCGGGGAGGAACTGCTAGAACGGAGATTGAGCAGAAACACGCATCGCCATTGCCATCGCATCGCCTAGCCGAACCAAAAAGGACCGATCGCTGGTCCTCAACATGAGCAACCGTGTGGCGCTTTTTTTTCTTTATTTTCTTTCCTCCGCCAACAGATTTTCGTTGTTGTATGATCTTGTAGCTTCCGATGGAGTGTAACACCGCTATTTGAAGGAAAGGAAAATTTTGCGATTGCCCTAATAAATCCCGTCCCGAGAATTTGTGCGCTGTTCTGTAATTCAAGATATTTTCTGCAGTAGACCGGGGAGGGGGCCGGGGGGGAGGGGGCCGGGGGGGCGGGGGGGTCCCAAAATTCTCCTTCGCTACATTCCTACCACTACTCCTAAAGCCTATCCAGGGGACAGGGACACGCATAGCTACCTCTCATAATAAAGGGGAGGCATGTTTTTTTTTTGTTTTATTTTTACAAAACAAGGGGCCCTGAGGGCTTCATCATTATGCATAGTTCAGGAACAAAAGGAGGTCGGAAATCCCTCGCAAATGAAACCGGAGAAAGGGAAAAAACATTGGGGGCACAACCCAGCTCAGAATGGTGTTGGGAGCAATATGACTAGGAACAGAAGTGGCCAACACACAGACCATTGTCATGTCTTGTCCACAACCCTAAAGTAAATTTGCCTACAAGGCCATGAAAAGTTAAACAATCCAACACTACCATCCCTATCAAAAACTTACACCTTCACGGTCTAAAAAGCCGCACATCCTGGCAAAAGAAAAGAGGATTTCACGTGTCCTACCACACTTCGTCTACAGGGCAAAGGATACACAACCACTATACAGAAGAAAAAATTGTTTTTTTTTTTTTTTTTTTTTTTCCATTTAAAAGTCCAGGGTGTTGTAGAGGCCAGTCAGTGTGTGCACAGTGCTCACTTGGAACTATCAGCCTCCGACCGGTCGGCCTCAAAACACGCACTGAATAACTCTCTTCTTGTTGTTGTTGCACAGTAATTCAAGGAAACAACAATGCTTGGGCTCTCATGCATGCATATCTTCTTCTTATCTTTTTTCATCATTGCATCTTCGCATTATAGACGTGGTATAAACACAAGACGTTAGTGCCACACCAGAGATTTGCAGTTTTTTTTGTTTTGGAGGGCGGGGCTAGGAAGGGGGGGCTAGGAAGGGGCGGGAAGGGGATGAATTTCAGAGAACAAAGATGTCTTTTTTTTCCCCACCAAACGTATAGCTTTCGCTTTCCTGATGCGCAGGCAAAAAAAAAGAGGGGGCGCTTTCTTGTCAATCAATCGATCTCTTACGTGCGATTTCCACTGGCCTTCGCCATGCTGAGTGCCGAGTGCTGAAAGTGGTTCACGCAGTTATCAAATAGTGGTCGTGCACAGAGAAGAGGATTCACACACAAGCAACCATTAAATAACAAAAACAATAATAATGGCATGCTTTGAGCGCATTCATGGTCCACCAGCATTAAGAAGAGGGAGGGAGAGGG